ACTTATGTTCTTAATGTTAGAACTTTCGAAACAAAACCCAGTCAACCTAATGAGTCACCGAAATCTAATCCAAATCCCACAGTAATCCACAAAGAAATCATCCCAAAATCATTCAAAGGATATAAACATTTCAAGCACATTGTGTGATAATTCGTAGCGCAAACATTTTTACAGCCTCAACATTCAACATTCCGGAAAAAAAGTAATGAAATTTAAAGCAAGAAGCGGCAACAGCGAAAAAATTTAATGTCCCCCAAGAGTGACATTCAGCTCTAAAGCTCTTTTTTGTGCTAGAAAAAATTCATACATGAGAGTCGAAAAGAAGAAAATAAAATATGCAAATAATTTTTACTTTTTTTTGGTATTTTGTGCTGTTTTATATTGTTTGGTGATGTTTTGAAGGTTTAAGTCATGAAATTTAAATTGAAAAAAATTCACGGAAAAATATTAAATTTTTCTAGAAGATTTTATGAATCAGAGGTACTTAATATGCGTGCTGCGGTACACTAATGTGATCATGGGGTCAGACAGGAGGAAGTTTTAATTTCTGGTTACTTTGTCATGTAAGAATTGATCTAAAGTCAAGTAAACAGCTACATGAAAAAGGTTTACCACCCCTGATAAATAAATAGCAATGATTCCTCATAAGCAACAATTGGAACAGAAATAATTATTTTTTATCAAGAAAATCCAAAAACTGCCCTTAAAAAGTATTAAAGAACTGAACCTTTTTTTCGTCTCCCAAAAGCTAACTAGACACAATGAAAGCAATTCTTAATTCATTCCTTAATCTCTTCCTTCTCATCAGACAATAATAAAAATATTAAGAAACAAAACAGTGCGAATTAGGTGAAGGTCGGTTGTTGCTGTAAATCTTTTTAAAAATAGAATGTGAAATAATAATAGAGACAAAAGTAGGGTTACCATCTAATTTTCATGAAAATACAGGACATTTGGTAAATTTTTTCAAAAAAAACAGGACATAGACTAAAATTCGAAAATTAACGGAAATTTTCATGAAAAAAATACAGGACCAAGAACAAAATTTAAAAATTTATACAGGACAGTCTTGAAAAATACAGGACTGTCCGTTGAAAAACTACGCAGATGGTCACCCTAGACAAAAGGCGAATGAGAATGAAAGAAGTAAGAAGAAGGCAGTCAAATAAAAGAAAATATTAAATGATTCAAGTCAGTGAAGTGAGGAGAAAAAATATACAAATTAATAATGAGCAAGCTACTTTGCTTGTCTTTCCAGCAGAATGAAATTCGCGACAATTCAGATGGAAGCATAAAATAATTATGAGAAGTGAGATCTTGAGATCATTGGCTGAATTTATTTTCATCATCAGCAACAATGCCACATATATTTGGTAGATTCAAATAATAAATGACTTTCGTTGTTGTCTTTTGGTTGTGAAATTTTATTCATATATGTACATCAGTTGTGGTTAACTGATGTGTAATGGTACACTAGTGTAGAGTTGAGGATGCTTAAGTTTGATTAGCTGATGCCGCTATGGATAGGCAAGACAACACTGATTCTAGATGACTTTATGCTAAAGTACAGTTGTTCTCAACCTTTTTGAACAGCAGCACAGTAAATTAATTATTTATTTAAAACTAGGTATGTTCTCATGTATTTCTAAAGGTTTTGGCTACAAAGCGGTGTATCAAAGTTTTGCCTACAAAGTGGTGTATCGCGGACCATAGTTTGAGAAGCACTGTTATAGCTCGTGCTGTTGATACATCATGTCTCACTTTTGGAATGCAGAAAGTTGATGATGAATATGTTCTGCTAAAGTTTTTGGACTTAATGGCTTGCTGACTTAGATTGTCATCTAAATATTTCATTAAAATGAGTAAGATATCTTCTAATAAATGTTAAGGAAAGAGTGGGGATGAAGATGAAGCTATGATATACTTTACACAAAACATTATATGACATACCAAAAGAATTGAACACTAAGCACTTATCTGGCTTTTCAAATCTAAATTGAGCTTCTAATCCTGATGATACTTTAAATTTATAGAGTACCTGTCTGTGTTTTATACAGAACCTATCCTAATTCATTATTGACATCATTAATAAACAACCCCTAAGATAAACGACCCAAAAAGTCATTGCTTCATCTCCATGTGTTCATTATTCTCACAATTAACAATGCAAAACCCCATAAAAATCCATATTTGAACTTTAAACCTGAAAATGCACAAGAATCACTAACCAGCAGTTCAAAGTTGCTTACATAAATTCTTAAAAGTTTATGGTAATTTCCTAATGAATTTATGTGAATATTTTATTGAAATCACTTAAAATGCTTGCTACTTTTTTACCTCAGAACTTCTTTCTTTTTTACGGATTTTCTGTTCCATAAAACTCCACAAGAAAGTTGAAAAAAAAGGTTTCCACATGAAAATTTCTTCATCGGATGAACATAATTTTTCCCCAATGTCACACAAAAATGTTTCTTTCTCATAAGCAGAAATGTATAAAAAGGGAATGGTAATAAATTAAAAAGTGAGAAGCACAAAAACCTTTTTTTCTTCTTTTTCATCTTTTTACCTTGATATCTTACATCCACATATATAGCTATCTTTAGAATAATTTTCTGTGTGATTCTCACAAAAATTTTATTTAAATGGGTCAAATTACACATCAAATATATAGAAATATGTGTCTGGTTTTAGAGATTTTTACATTAAATTTAATATGTTCACAACATCGTAAGGATTTAATCATCAAATTATGTCGTCATTGTTGCCATTGCTATAACTCTTTCCATAAAATGTTTTGTTTTATTAAGCAAACATAACTTTTATTTACTCTAATCTCATTGACTTTGGTGCTCGTGCTCATTTATTCTGTTACATATTATATGTTTGGTTGCTAGACGAAAGCTTGTTAAAATTAAAACTGCTTCATGAGAATCTTATTTAGCTATTTTGAGATGGTTTTATAGACTCTTGTTTGTAACCCTGGGGAGATTTATTTGATGGATGCGGAAGTGATGTGGATTGAAGAGTTTATAGTGGAACTGCTTTTTCTTGGACAAACTGGTGCGTTGTAAGAGTTTTTGTGTCATTCTATGTCAGATTTTGATCAACTTTTACCAAATGACTCGAGTCTAAGGACGCCTTTCGCTTGCAACTCTACAATCTTTATTAGGATTTAACTCGCAATTAATAAACAGTCTACCCGAGATGACAACGAGCTCGTCTTCTGTTTAAACAGCAGAAATGCTTTAATACATACAGATTTGATGTAGGTAGCTGCTTATTATTTGTGTGGCTGGGGATCAAGGCTTGTGATTTGTTAAGATTAGAAATATCTTTCATAAGCTTAGTTCAAATCTTAATCTCGGATACAAAAGTTGTTTAATCGATCACAAATACGACACCAATCGAAGTGACTCTAGTGAAGACCGATCTAGGTTCTGATCTAGGAGAATCATCTAGTATGGATCTGGCTTAGTGTGGGATTTCTGATGGATTAACTGATATGTGCTATTTAAAAAAATTTATTTTATAAAATGTGCCTTCAACTTACAAAAATGTTATTGAATTCAAGATTGTCTCTTTGGCAGGGACAATTCAAGATTTTCCCACAACCTTTAACATAAGCTTCTCAGCTTAGAAACAATCTTAAAGTACAAAATCTAAACATTTATTTCGACCTACACTTAAAGCTAAAATTCAATGTCTATTTATCGCATGAATAATGTCAAGGCTAAAAAAGTCTATTTACTTGCCCTTGAATCTCTTCTTAACGGAAGCATATTTTCTTATCTACTTCATCATGTCCTGCGTTATGCAACAAATAACGATAATACAAATGTTTTTGCTTACAATTTTGTCAGTTTCTTGGCCTCACTTGGAATGAAACCATTTTACTGTCAAGAAAAAATATTAAAAATTCATGATCATCATGAAATATTTACGTCCATTCTGAATTGCGTTGACTGTGACTAAAACATATTTTAAAAAATTAATTGTCATTAAAATTTCAAAGATTTTAGTTTTGTGCTGTTATGGACATTATGAGGATGTCAGGAATAAAAGCAATTCGATGAAAACTTTTAATACAATTTTCAAATTTTACAGACATTAAACCTGTCACAATCCAACGATTATTTATTGTCGCTCAAAAATCCATCAAATTTTAAAATAAAAGCATTGAAAAAAATTGAAAATAAAAAGTCAAGCAAAAGAGGAAAATAAATCAAAAATTTTCATTATCCTTATGTCACCAGCAGATGACAAAAAAGTGACATCCAACTGGATGATGCTAAATATTACTTGAGTTGTCTCATTGTGTTGAAATGTTCCTTCATTGTCAGTGTTTAAGAGCAGAAAAAGAAAACTTTTTTTCAAGTCATTGAGGCGTTCATTATAAAACGGAACGACGGGGAAATTAAATGCAAAAGAAAAATGATGAAAATGGGAGCAAAACTTTTAATGCATAAATGACTATGAAAAATGAAGCTAGATTATGCAATACAATGGCAAAGTTGTAGTGTTTATCAATAATAGTTGACAATGAGAATGGCAACTCGAGAGACTATTTTTAAATCTTTATCAAGTATTTATTGATTATTGTTGGAGTTCCATTGAAATCATAATCAATTGTTAAGGCATGAAAGCATAAAAGCATGAAGCAGCGATACTTATTGATGGGGAAAAATTCAATTAAATTTTTCTGAGAAATGAAATGCTGAAGAATTTCCAATTCCTCAATCAAGCTCGGTACAAAATGTCACAGAAGCGTAAGAAACTTTGTGAAATGTAATTTTGATCGGTTTTAACTTATCGATGTAGGCTGTGTTGCTAAGAAGTCATTCGCTAATAAATCCTACTCTCTTTTTCAAGGTCTTCTCTCTTTTGAGTTTTGCATAATTATTAACTTCTGCTTGATCTTAAAATATTCTAGCCAATGTCAATGACTTCTAAAAAATTCAGAAAACCCCATTTAATCAATTTTTTATTCTTTATCTTTCTAGGTTATGGACACATAGCACCCAAAACTATTCCAGGGAAGCTTTCCACAATATTTTATGCTATTGTAGGGATTCCACTGATGCTGCTATGTTTATCTAATATTGGTGATATAATGGCCAGTTCGTTCAGGTATTGTAATCAAAAATGTTAAAGAACTCATGAATTTAACTACTTGCAATCGGGTATCATTGAGAACGAATTTGTTCTGGGACATTTCTAAATTCATTTAATTCTTTTGAAATAGTCGAAATAGTTTTATTTTAATCTAAACTTTTCAAAGCTAAACACAGCTTCATAAAGGTTCAAAATCAATCCAAAGCTAATTTATTCAATTGTTATCTGTATTTCAACTCGTCTGCATTTCTAAGAATTTCGCTAGCTACAGTAATATGTCATCACATTCAGAATCATACTCATTGCTGATTTCGTGAATATTTTATTTGAACATCCAAAAATCTGTAGTTTTAAATTTTGTTTTGTGTGGCATTAACCGTTTGTCAATATGATCAAATTGCTTTGATATCACAAAACAAATCAATCGTGAATCTAAAGCGAGGAACAACTAGCATCAAATATTTGAGAATTCACATGAATTTATTTATTAACCATCGTTAGAAAATAGCGATACACAAAGGACATAGACATAAAAAGCACATTCATTCAGCTATAGATCGTCGCATAAAACAACATGTGAAAGTACACAAATTTTTTTCTCCTTTTCGTCTTTCCTTCTTTCGTATTCCAAAATCAGATTGTTGCTATTCAAATCACATCGCATTTTCATTATGAAGTTTCACTTGTGCCGCGTGCAACTACTTCAATACAAGTTTCCTTACATATAGTTTTGTATGTTGAATACGATGAATTGCAATCACGTCCAACCAGCTACACAATAGACAAAATACAAAATGTGGAATGTGTGCGACTCAAAGTGTAGCAAAAAAGGAGGGAAAATGAAATAAAAAATTGTAATCTTCTATTCAATGACATTAAATCAAATAGTCCTTGACAGACGCTGATATAAAATCTATATTTGAAATGTATGAATTGTGATTTAAAGTTTGCAATTGAATTTTGAGGCTTAAAAAGGTTACGGGACAATAGATTCTATCATCGATTAGGATCGCAGTGCCTTTTAGCTCGTCGCAACGTGTAGTAACACACCGCTAGTTTGGAACCCTCTCACATTATTAAGGTTGCGGCTTGAATATAAGCTAGGGGCGTCACTAGATATTTTCGAATGTAGGTTTAGAATTTTTTTGAATTAGCAAACTCTGTCCACGCTACTATAGCCGATTTACAGAATCTTTTTAACTTAGAATCAAGTTTCTGTAAAATGAACTTTCATATATCAGATACAAAAATAAATCTAGCTTTCAATCTTTAGAAAATTTAAAATATTTTGAGATTAACTGAGCGAGAATCAAATTGAATGGAACATTCTGCTTCACTTCAGGAAATCAGATTTTTTTCATAGCTTAATGCTTGATTTCTGTGATTTTTTAACAAAAATATTATTCTAGATTCATATATTGGCGAGTCTGCTGCTACGTCTGCACACGTGAACCGAAAAAACAACAAAAACGACGAATGCTGATGAGGCGCCAACAACTGCAACAACAGCAACAGCTTGCTCTCCAAGAACGCTCAGCGTGAGTTCAATTCTATTCTCGTCTTTAGCTATTGATTTTTTTTTTCTGTAAAATTCAATTAAATTCCAGACGATATTCAGGACGCTCACAGAATCAAGCATCAATGAGACGATCAATGAGAGCGTCGCAACGTTCAACGGATTCTGGCATTGATCCATATTATGAAAGAGGACAGGATGAAAGCGGTAGAATGGGTCATGCATATTCTGACATGGATTGCAGGTTAGATATAAACATTTTTGAATATTTTCATATGCTCAACCACAAAACTGATTTTTCTCACCTCCGATAAAAACACAAATTCACTTGTGACTATTTACATTTTCTCTCGTGCATTTCACTGCCAGCTTGTTTTGCATTTTCCACTGAATTTTATTTGAATTGTGGGTTGTTTTAGTTTTTCAAGAATTAATGGCTTTTTTTAGTTGTTTCTGAGGTCAACGCTATAAATTCAATTCCTTTAAAATCGATGAAAATTACGCTACCCACCAAAAAAACGTTTCCGTCATGTACCGACTCAAAATGTGCATAGAAAATTAAAATTGAAAATCGAAAATGCATCGTCAATGGCATTTACGGCAATGAATAGAAAATTGGAATTGGAAAATGTCGGAAATATTGAATAGTAAAATATGCAAATGTAAATGAAGTTATCATGCCTTATTTATCATCATGGAAAATAATGTTATGTTATGCTGCTGCTGCCAGTACTGTCATGTATCTATAAATGTTTGTATTCGAGGCATCACAATCATATGAAATCGTAGATAGACAAAAAAAAAAGAGTAAAACAGATAAGAGAGAGATGAGATAAATTGATTGAGAAAATAATTGGCAGAAAAATAGGATCATTTTCATTGATGTCATTCAATATCCATTATGCTATAATGATTATGATGATGATGATGATTATGTGCGATTATTCATTAATTTTAATGAAGAGAAATTTTCTCGATGGAGCTGATTAAACCTCTTTACTTGCACGACTGTAATGGAATACTTCAATTATATTATTTGTTGGGATGCATGGAGGGTGCAGTAATTTATTCAGACAGAGTTTGAGTGCTCTTATATCAAATTACATGCATACATCTTACATTAGTGGATGAAAGTTTTTTAAGAATTTTTGTTTATGAATTTCAAAACTTTCCAAATACATTTTATAGAATAGGAAGATTTGTCAAAACTAGAGGACAAACTATGTGGTCAAGAAGTCAAGTAGTCAATTTTAGGTTCAATTTCTTAATAGGAAGTGGGTTCGATTTCCACGAGAAATCTTAATTTCTCTTAATCAATAATTATGACATCCCGAACATACAAAGAGCATGCTCAGAAAAGTGAGCATATAAGTGAGTCTACTCAAAAATTATACTCATGCAAGCTCATTCAACTGAGCATGCTCAGGAGTTCATTACGAATGTACTCACTTTATTTTTTTACAAAAACTTTATAAGCTCACGTGAGTGCATTCAATAAGTATACTCTTGAGAATATTAGAGCATACTCATGTGAATTCACTCATATGAGTTCACTTACTGAATATACTCATCAGCATATAATGAGCAAACTCACTTCTGTGTGACATAATTTTTTTATATTCTCATATGAGTGCACTTACTGAATGTACTCATGAGCTTATAATGAGCAAACTCACTTCTGTGTCACACAATTTTTTTTATATTCTCATATGAGTGCACTTACTGAATGTACTCATGAGCTTATAATGAGCAAACTCACTTCTGTGTCACACAATTTTTTTTATATTCTCATATGAGTGCACTTACTGAATGTACTCATGAGCTTATAATGAGCAAACTCACTTCTGTGTCACACAATTTTTTTTATATTCTCATATGAGTGCACTTACTGAATGTACTCTTGAGCATATAATGAGCAAACTCACTTCTGTGTCACACAATTTTTTTTATATTCTCATATGAGTGCACTTACTGAATGTACTCATGAGCTTATAATGAGCAAACTCACTTCTGTGTCACACAATTTTTTTTATATTCTCATATGAGTGCACTTACTGAATGTACTCATGAGCTTATAATGAGCAAACTCACTTCTGTGTCACACAATTTTTTTTATATTCTCATATGAGTGCACTTACTGAATGTACTCTTGAGCATATAATGAGCAAACTCACTTCTGTGTCACACAATTTTTTTTATATTCTCATATGAGTGCACTTACTGAGTTTATTCTAGAGCAATTTGTGTACCTTTTTTAAAAAAATGTCAGCTTAATCGAAAACGTTAAAATCAAAGGGCGAAGTCGACTCGAAATTTGTATGAAGTCGAGTGAACTCAAGTCGACTTTTCCATACAAAATTCGAGTCGACTTCGCCCTCTGGTTAAAATAATGATTTTTTAAGGAAGCCGACGTTTTTTAAAAATGTCAGCTAAATCGAAAACGTAAAAATTGGTGCTCAATAAGATCCAAACTTCAAAGAACTTAGTTCGCCTGTAAAAATATAATAATTTAACTATGTGTTATGCCATATATAAATTATTATATATTTACAGACAATAGCTCCAAGGAAAAGTGTGAGATGACAGAAGTTAAGCAACGCAGAAGACATTTCAACAAGGATGGGTGACCAGATTTATATGTTTCAATTCTAAGGATTTGGGATAAAATATTAATAATTTCTAACTCTTTCAAAATTATTTACAGAAATAAACGGAACAGTACTTAATTTCAGCTATCCTATAATATTCAAATTTAGCTTAATTAATTTTTTGAATTTTGCAACTTCACTTGAGTGCACTCATGAGTGTGCTCAGATGAGCATATACTCATAAATATACTCACTAAGTATATATTCTTTGAGTACATTTATGAGTATGTACTCTTTGAGAATATTTATAAGTATGTACTTTTTGAGAATGTTCATGAGTATATTCAATAAAAATGTTGCATGAGAAAAATGTTGCATGTGACATGTTACCTTCTCATTTGAGTATGCTCATGAGTTTACTCAATGAGCTTAATACATGTCACATAGGAATGTGCTCACTGAGCATGCTCAAGAAGGTACCGTAAGCGCATCACTGAAATGTATGAAAATGAGCACATTCTCACAAAGGCTAATAGGCTCACAAATAATGTGCTCTGAGCATGCTCATTGTATGTTCGGGCATCTTATCTATATACACGATTTCATAGCAAAAAGAAGGACTACTGGTTTGTAACACAGCATTGCTAACTATGACATATCAAAAGTAAAGCAGCATTCAATCCACCTCAGAATGCTAAAAGCATTTGACTTCCAGCGAAAATAGCCATAAAGATAAATCCTATTAGCAAGTAAAATCGAATATAATTATACAACAATTCCAATAGAAACCATTTCCACAACTAAATTTACACATTTCATCGTTTAAATAAAGTGGGAAAATTTTCGACATTATCCAATTCCATGTTTGAAACCATTATTAAAATTTTCCATTAATTTTCAATTCATTTCAAATGTTGAAATTTTGTAAATTAGGAATTTATGTAGAACAAAAAGTAAAAATATAGAGAGGCTCGTAAAACATGTACAAATCAGCCAACGCACTTAGCAACATTATAGACGTACGCCGTTACCATTAAATTCAATATTTCAATTGCAAATATATTCGATATATTATTTGCAATATGATTATTACCTGCAGCATTCAATAAAAAAGAATTAAATGTACGCAATTTTCTGACCGACAATCAAATTGAACTAAATGCAAAACCACAGGCAGGCAAGCAGTAGGCAATTTATTGTGCCTCATTAATTTCCTGATGATGTTGAAAAGTGGAAGGGAAATATCTTTTTTTTTCTAATCCATGTTGATTTGATTTGTATGAAGTTAGACTGAATTTTTGATTTTATCTCAAGCTACAAGCTTTGCTTCCCAATTTTTACAAATCTGCTGACTCTATAGTTTCAAAATATCCACAATAAATCAAGCGAACTCCCTTCAACCGACACACTGATGCGATTTTTATTTGATGTATTTATTTAGAAAGTCGGAAGATAGCAAGAAGATTTAATGCCTTATAATTCGAATACATTTTGTGAATTGACAAAATTGCTTTCCTTCAAAATGCCCATTCAACTTCAAATGTATTCTATAAGCGAGTACGCGTCAATAAATTTATATAAAAGTATACAATTTTTTTCTTCCATACATTTGACGACAATCATCATCATCTTAAAACCATAAATATTCGCTGTGTCACCCATTACAATGTTTGTATATTATTGGGCAACAGACTGTTTGTTGCGTCCTCGAACTCTCTCATATATGTTGTAATAGGACCATTACTGTAACATATAAAAATTCAGATGTCGTTTATTGTCGCTTTTCTACTGCTTTTATCCTTCATTTTCTATCTCTGAAGTAACATCTTTGTCGGCTGTTACACTCATTGAATACTTAAAAAAAATTGAAAACAAGGGAAAAAGACAGAACAATTGAAAGACAAAATGAAAATATTGATGGAATTATTATGATGAAGTTATGGGTTTGGTGGGGCTATGTTGAAGGTTGAGAATATGACGCACGTGAGTTTTTATCAATTTAAGGAGCAGATAGGAACAAATAAACCCTTTCAAAGCCCCCTTATTATCCATATGAAGAGAAATCAGTTTGAATGAGTCAGTTGAAGTCAAATTAATTCTACAATTCAGCTTTGAGAGCCCCCAATACACAATTCAGCCATAATCACTTTAATTAGACAAACTGCCAACAATCCACATCCTAATCTTAAGCACTAATCCATAAACCCAAAGAAATGAAACAAAACAACATAAAATAAATTTTTATTACTTTCAGATACTCCGGAGCAAATGGCGGAGGTAACGGTGAACAACAGCAGCAATTGTATTATGATGAGCGAGATAAAATGCGTGGTAGATCATTACAGCGACCGAGACGTGATCAAATGCGAGATGGACGATTTGGACCTGGCGGTGGTGGTAATGGTCCTTCATTATCATGTGAACCACGTTATAGAAATGATAATAGATATGCTGATCGACATACCGTCGATAGAGATAGATTCCCAAACTATCAAAATGAACAGCTTTATGATAATGATTATGATGATGATGTTGAACAGCAAGGGGCGCATGTATCGAGACGTGAGAGGATGAGAGAAAGGGAAATGCGTGAGAAAGAAGTACCGAATAGACAGCAAATGAGGTATTCTGAAGATCGACAGATGGGAATGGATAGATCTCCTAGGGTAGCACGTGGGGGTCGTAAGTGTTTGAATTAATTAAAATTTTAAATCAAGTTAATCAACTAGAGCTTTAAGTCGACATGGCACTTATTACAACTATCTATAAAATTTCATTTATCCATCTTTACAGCCGCATCACGTGTCCAATCTCTTGACCGACGAATGATGCGTCGTGATCCAGTAATGATAGAATTTGAGCAAGAACAGCCATGCAAAGCACCAATGTATTGTAATAAGTATGCAGTTGATGATGAAATGGAAAAGAGACCTGACCGAAGGCAACAAAATATGCGAAGTCAATCGATGCCAAGACAGATGCAGTCCAGATTTGGGGATCGTCTAATGCCGCCACATCAAGGATCTATTAGACGAGAACACAGTGCACAGCCATATGACGAAAATGATGTAGATATGCCAACCCGAAAAGGTAGAAAGCAAACCCGTCCAGGTAAGTTTTTCCGTTCCTTTGCTGTTGTTGCTTTTTGTAATATGCTCGAAAACTTTCAAAGCCACTCGAAAAAGATTTTCTGTTCCTTTCTCGTCCAATTAGCTATTTTAGTTCCACTCCAAAATTCAATCGAGAAAGGACAGAACAAAATTTTTTCAGTAAAAACTCTTTAAGGAACATCTCAGAAAATTTTTTCGAAAGGACAACACTCAAAAGCCACAGAAGATGATTATAAGGAAACTTCTTTAACGAGCACAGAAATTTTTTTAAGGTTCTCATTTTCCTCTTCTTGAAACTTTTCCTCAAAAATAGCTTGGACTCACCAAAAAAAAAAAAAAATCGTTTGGAAAAAGTTTCAATAGCTCTTTTGCCGCCTCCAATACCATTCCACTCACCACTCGCATTTGTGCTTTTTCCTTAAGTTTTTCTTTCTCTTCCTTCATGCTTCGTCCTCTCTCTCTCTCTTTGCATCAGTTGGAACCGAAAAAAAAAGTTTTAATTGCAAATGATTTTTTGCTTACTCGCATTTAGCTCGGGAATGTGAATTTAATTTCTTCTTTTTTGCATTTCTAGTTTTTTTTTGAGAGGGTAGGAGAAATAAGTGCCGGCAAAATTGAATAGCCAGAAATAATGAAATTGAAAAAGTGGTAGCGATGTAAGATTTTTTCAAGTTGAGTTTAAATATTTGTGAACTTTTAAATTGAGGGAAAATTGAATGAAGAGGTTTGAAACTTTGCTAATGGATGTTGCATTGAAAATTCATGGATTACGAAATTTGCAACCTTTTCGTATTTTACGAAATGCAGGTGTAATATGAGAATGAAATTAAATACTAGCGAGCACCTCAAAAAAATCCCTCTGATTCCATCTTTGACCAACATCGTCTACCATCTAGCAGCTATAGACTAGCATGACCTTTAGAATCGAACCTATCTAGCAACTTTTAATGCTAAAAAAGTACTTAATTTATAGTTTTCACTATTTAAGCTCCTGAATCAAATTATCACATTCAGGTTCCAAACGCTTGCATAATTTACACAACACAAAAGAAAGAGAAAGAAAGAAAAACTTTAAGCACAAGAATCTCTAGTCAAAAAAGATTTTTTTTCTGATTGTTTTAACTTTTAAGGAACAAAAGGACGAAGAACAAGTGCAAGCATAAAAAGAAGAATGAATAAAGTTTATTACCCATTTTTTTCATATTTCTGACATGAGACTAGGAACAACCCTTTCATTAATGTCCATATTGAAACTTTTAAAAGAAGTCCTTCCTTGGCAAAATGACGAACGATGGAAATGAGAATTGTTGAATTTATTCAAAAATATGCCGGGTGTTGCTCACACACATATCCTTATATGATGTATATAATATGTTTATGTAAAATGATTATCATAAAAAGAGAGAGAAAAATCACAAAAAAGGGTCAGTAGCATGAAAATGAGAAAAAAAGGATTAAAATTAAAAAACATCTCATCTGGATCTGATGTAGAAAATTACATAAATTTTTTTGTATATCCATTTTTCTGTATCATTTGGTGTATAGTTTTAGTAAATTTTAATGTTTATTTAGTGGTTTTTTGGATGTTGAATGTTGAAAAATTGTTTCGTACCAAAATAAAACTATATATCCCATCGCTATATGTTTATCTATCTATCTATATATAAATGTTGTATATAAAAATATTGAATCTATTTTTTTTTGTCAGGCGTTAACACTTTGGAAGGGTTTTGGATGCTCGCAAATTTTAAAAATTAGATTTTTGTCAATTGATGATTTCAAAATGAATCAGAAGTCCAAGACTTGCTTACTTCCTTTCTATCTTGACTGTACTGACGAATTATAATCTAAGGCAGTGGTGGACAACCTTTTTTATGACACGGCACACCTTGGTGGTAAGCCATGACCGAAACTGGATACAGTACGGGAATTTGTCGAATTTTTCACACTAGTGTGCCGTGGCACATGGGTTGCTCATTACTGATCTAAGGAATGAAATTTATAATACTTGCTCTTCAGCTGATTATCGCTTGACAATCACCAATCCCTAGTTCATTACTGTCTATATCAATGACATCTTTTAGTGAGCTTTAAGTAAGTTGACATCAACTTAAATAGCAACAGACTTCAAGTCAGCACAACAAGACCTTAATCGACTCCCACCTCTAGCTGATAACCCATCATGCAAAATCCACAACCTTTCCAAAGTGTTAACGCCTCAAAAATTCTACCCTAAAACACACAAAAAAAAAATCTATTTTCTCTTCATCCGCACTAAGGAACAAAGTATTTAAATGTTCCAATTTTCACATTTTCTATCTCATACATTCGAGCTGAGCAGGAAAAAAATAACATTTAGACACACATACAAACGTGCAGATATGAATATTATGTAGTAAAATATTGTGCTTTTTATTGTATTCAATTTCAACCATACAGTGGCATCAATATCATTTGCATATATACACATGATACGTGTTTAGTATAATCATGATGAAGAGTCATGTGCTTTTTTGCCTTCGTTTTTACTACCCAACGAGAGTCTTTGATAGAAATGCAGGGAAGTAGAATTATACCGACCTTTATTTGGATAATTTTTTTGAGGATAAATATTTAGGGACTGGATTCTAAGGCTTTTTGAAGGTCTCTGTCATAGTCAGAGTAGATTTTTTTTTTATCCAGCGTTGTCTAAAGCTCTGAAAACCTTGAAAACTCCTGTCCAAAAACACAGTCAAGCTATAATCTTGAATATCCTCAACCATAATACGATTGCTTAATGAGACTGCAAGTATGACTCGGGATTTACACGCATACATTCTATAATCCCCATACATGCCCCCCACACCGAATATCATGTTCATCTTCTCATCTATTCATCCTCAATGCCCAATATCATTTTCGGAAATGGAAATTTTTATCGCTTTTAGTTTTGGGAATTTTTATTCTATTTCAAATATTTTTTTTTTCATTTCTTTCCGCATACTTTTAAGGATATTGACGAGATGCTTTTAGGCATAGAGATTTTTTTTTTCTGCAAAACTATTCAGGACATGATTTTTCATTTCTAAAATTCTCTTTCTCATTTTCTCTCGATATTTATTTCTATCGACCTTTCATATTTCTTGTTGCTGTGCTGCCTTCGCTTTTATTTGCATTGATATTACTGTTGAAAAATTGGAGCAAGGAACGAGCACATCTGTTCTTTAGGAATTTGGGTTTTAGTATTTGAAGTTATGCTGTTAAAATAACTCATTTCAATTTGAGAATCTTTCGTTTTCAAAAAAAAAAAATGTATCAAAGGGTTTTTAGGAAATTTCAATGAGCAGCATAGAACATCATTGAATGAATGTCTGAATAGCCGGGAAAGTTTACATCATTTTCAATAACTTTTAAACGCTGAATGTTGATTTGCATTCATCTGAATTTAACTTCAACTGAACCCACGCTTTGTTGAAGAACTGCTGCAAACATCAAAAGCCAAAAAATGGAATCTCTCTTTTTTTCAATTTATGAGAACATCAAAGGTCTGCCTGTATAAACAGTATTTCCATGACGGCAATAGTTTAACTAACTTTGCCGCACATTGAAATGCTTGCAATTTCATTGCTTTTGACTAAAAGTTCACATTTTGCCTCCACTCGAGGAATGTTTTTGAAATTGCTGTGCCATATTTCTCTCGTTTAAAAATTATGCTTCAAGATAAGAGTCATCAAGGATGTGCGCGAGTGAGACACTTAATTAAAATTCATGTTGCTTCTTGAAAATTAATTTTTCTGATTATTTATGTGTTTGATTTTTCAAACGCATGCCTTTAAGGATGCGGAAAGGAACTGTTGTTCTTCCATTGTGCAACGGTGTTGAAGTCTTTGTAAATTGTCTTTATAATTGAAGAATCAGATAATAATTCTCACATTGAGTAGGAGTCGCTACATCAACACCTTTCGAGAAGTTAAAGTACTGAATCTAACGGCTCATTAAATTAAAGAACCTCAATCATGAAGAATGTCGGCAGTCTCGTATTTTAAAAATTCATGCTGCTTCTCAAAAATTATAAAGTCAAGTTTCAACATTCAGTCATAAAATTTAAAATTCAAACAAGAAACTTTTTGACACAATTTTTCTTTAAAAAAATCTTCGATACAATCTTTATGCTGCAAACTAGAACAACTAAAGCTCAAAACATCGCTACCCACAAAAACCAGCAAAATTTCCCTCAAAAAAAATAGAGTGTGAAATGAAAAGATGCTAATTAGGTTGCGAAACATGAGAACTTCATTGTGATTCTATTTTGATTGTGGTAGCAATGACAACATACAAAAAAAAAGTTTCTTGCATATAATTTCCTGCATTCTTTATTTGTCCTATGGCAAAAAGCACACCACATTACCGAAAAAAAGTGAAAATTAAGAAAGCAAGAAATCGAGGAAGACGGAAAACGAAGTCATAATATTATGAGTTGATGAAAAATATGCAGCATGAGATTGAATGACATGAAAATACTTGTGCGAGACTTCCTTATCATTATGCACAATTTTTTTCTTCTTCTTCATGAAATGTGAACAAGAACTCAAGAGTTAAAATAATACAGTTGCTTACAGACGAGCGAGGGAGAGAAAAATAGCATGAAAATTATGATGATAAGCAAATAAGAATGCAGGAATGGAAAGCATAATTAACATGAAGAAGGAAAACATTGAAAATTTTTAATGGCGAAAGAGGAACGATGGTGTGAAGGAACGAGAGTATCTTGTTGGTAAACTTTAGGTGAAGAAATGTCGTTTTGAAGAAACTTGAGTTTTATGGTTCTCAAGCGCATTTTTGATTGCCACTTGATAGGTGATGATTCATTTTTAAGGATCTTAGTGGCTACAAAAAATTTCATGAATAATAATTACTCATGATATCGACCACAAATGTCCGATTATTAAGTAACTTTAGATTCAAATTACTCCAAAGCTACATTTTAGCTCCCTTTTTGCCGGAAGAAGTCACCCAATTGGC